TACCTGGCGCTGTTTGTCCTCAGGAAGGTTCTCGCAGGAGCACAGGCAGACAGACGTTACTCTTCAGCTGGTTTCTGACACTGCAGGTGACTGGCGGTGGCCTGATGGTGAAGCCCCCGTGCTGCTGAGTGAAAGGCTGGGGTCACAGACCCATCCTGTGGTCACCTCAGGAAAGCCCTGGTCATCTGCTTCCTTAAAGATGATGTGCGGGAGGAATCTACGTGGCCATTCCACTCTGTCACCTGGGGCCACCATGAGTCAAAAGTGTCTCCTTGGCACCCAGCGACACGGCCAATGGTTGTGGGGCACTGGCATGCTGTACCGTGGTCTTCAGTTCCAACTCACTGTCACGGAGTTCTGTCTTTCCTGATGACTACAAGAACCTGTTGAGAAAACAGGCCAATTGGATTTGTAGCCGCTTCAAACCCGCCTGCGTTTCATACCCTGTGGACTCCTGGTCAACCTGTGCTGGCCATCTCTCTCACCCTCTGTGCTAGTTTGATAATCTCCTGTCAACTTGAGGGTAGTAAGAGTGAAGGGGTGGAGCTCCGCCTGTCAGTCAGGTCCAAACTTGATCGGAGGGCAACTGAGATCAATGCCTCTCCGAGGCTCTCTCGGTCGCTCTGTTTCACCTTCCTGTTGAAGAGCCGGAGGAGCCACGTGGAGAACCACGAACGCCAGTGCTGAGATGCTTCCACCACCATTGAATCCACAAGACTTTGCCCCCACTGGCCTGTGATCTGCCTGCACTTTGCATCCTTACGTGTGACTGCATGAGTCTGAAGGGGGCTTTATGGACAAGGATCAGACTGTGGACTTGATCGGGACTGGGCTGGGGTGCTTTCTCAATATACAATTGCCCTTCGATATCAAGCTCTCTCGTGCACATCTATGAGTGTCTCTGGTCAACCCGACCTAACACACCCTCTCACCACCACCGAGTCAATGCAGACCCCTAGTGACCCTATAGAACAGGCTAGAACTGCCCCTGTGGCTTTCGGAGGCTGTCACTCTTGATGGGAGCAGACAGCCTCGTCTTTTTCCCACAGAGCAGCTGGTGGTTTCAAACCACTGATCTTGTGGTTAACAGCCCAACGTGTAACCATGAAGCCATCAGGCCCGTAGTTATGCCCCCTAAGTGATGCTTTCCTTTGGCGTTCTCAGATGCCGATTCTCCCTCACCTGCTACAGAAAGATAGTTCCTTGGCATATGTGATCCCAGCCCCTTGTATTCTGCCAGCATTACCCTGTTGTTGTCCCCGTAGAGACTCCCTGCACCACTGGTCTCTGGCCAGGGGTGGATTCCCGCCAGCACGTGGCTACCATTGTGCCTGCCCCCAACGAAGAGCTTCTTTTGCGACCCAGATAGCTCATGGCCTTATCATTGTCCTGCATTAGTTCCAAGCTGCCTCAAGCGCCTGACAGTAGGTAGAAGACAGCTGGATGCTCACTTACTCCCTGACATCCGGACGATTCCGGCTCACAGAGACCCTATAGGACAGGGTAGAACTGCCTCTACTGGTTTCTGAGATGGCAGCTCCTTCCCGGAGGAGAAAGCCTCATCTTTCTCCCGAGGGGCGGCTGGGGTTTTGAACCGCTGACCTTGGGGTTAGCTGCCCAGTGTGAAGCCCACTACACCATCAGACACGAGGAAGAGGGCAAGAAGGGCAGTGGCGTCCCTTTAGGACCACAGCGTGGATGTCATGCTGCTTTTCTGGCACCAACACAAATTCTGCGCCTCCCAGACACCCCAAGGGCTTGGGTGGCTGCGGTGCCAGCCGGTGCCTGGTGGGGGGTATGGGAGGCAACATGGACAACATCTTGGAGCTGCAGTGTGATGGAGACACCAGCCTCCCTGAAGCAGACCCACCTGAGTCTTAGGGCCCGTAGAGGAAGACTGTGCAGTTGAAGATTGAGTACATGGAGCCCTGTGAGTGTCCCTCCTCACCCATTTCCAACCTCTTTGCCAAATCAGGAGCCTGGCTACCCAAGGGGGAGAGCAGGAAGCAGCGGGGAGGGTGGCGAGGAGAGGGTCCTCGAGGCTTCTCAGGAGCTTGGCAACTCTGGAATTCTAGGGCCCTCGGGAGGCATAAGGGGGATTGTTCTGTAATGAAGCAGCCCTGAAGTGGCCGCCTTAGAATGTGGTGAGGTGAAATCTCTCCTCTCCGGATTTCTAGGATGCGGACACGCTGGAGAATTATCCAGGAGGGTCTGTACTCAGCAAAGAGAAGCAGCCAGCCTGTGGACCCGGGGATGGAGGTATGGACACACGGCTCGGGCTCTCTTCGGTGGCCACTGCCCTCATTCAGGGACTCTGGTCCCGGCCAGCTCCCGAATGTGTATGTATGAGTTTGTGGTCCTACATTAGGGCTGTGGACTTCTCAATGAGCTGCCTGCCTGGTCCTCCGCCACCCTCCGTTCACCACGGGCCCAGAGGGTGTTCTCCCCCTCTTAGAAACTAGGGTCACCCCGGCTTTTACCCCAGCTTTTACATGGACTCTCTCACTGCCAGGAAGGTGCAGGATGCCCCTCCCAGTGGCGCCTCCCCTCTCGTGGCTGAGACCTCCCTGGGCTTCCTCTCTGATGGCCGGTTTCACCTCCCCTCCTGCCTCGCTTGCGGGTAATTAGTTGCCCTCGAGTGGCTGTGAAATCCTAGAGACGCCTGTGCGCAGATCCGAGCTGCCCCGGAGGAGCTTAAAGGCTGAGAGCTCCGGGTGGTTTAAATGGCCTTTAGTCGCGTGCCACAAAGCAAGTGTTTAACCAGCTAAGAGTTCAGCCTCTAGCACGTGCAACTGCCCAGGGACCCCGACTCCGCTCGACTCCATGATGACCACCACCACCAACCGCACTGCCGTCCAGCAATGCTGACCCCCGACTGACCCCCACGTGGGTGTCTGAGACGGTAACCGCTGACGGGAGTTGAAAGCCCGGTTGGAAGTCTTTCTCCCACGGCGCTGCCGGTGGTCTTGAACCACCCAGTGCCCATGAGGTTCCCCGTGTAGCCAGGGCTCCCAATGACATCAAGGGCCTCCCAGGACATCCTTGATTCTGAGCCCTGGAAATGAAAGAAACGAAGAAAAGAGCAAAGAGCAGGGTCCTTGGCCCAAGTAGGAGCATCCGATGCCATCGTGGGAAAAGCCGCACGGGGCTGCCGCGATTGATTTCCAAAGGGGGGGGTGGGGCAGGTGTCCCAGGTGCCTCCTGCCCGGGACCTGCTTCTGTCAACAGGTGGGCAACCTGTGGGGCTGGGGGGAGAGACGTCCTCTCTGAGGGGTCCAGAAATCAGCACAGCCCATAGAGTTCTTGTACCTGGTGTTGTTTGGGGGGGGGGGGCGGCCTTGAGGGGGGGGGGGGGGGGGGGGGTGGGGGAAGCAGGAAACTCTGGCCACGAAGGAACGCAAGGGCGTCTCTAGCTCTGAGCCACCCCACCCCACCCTCCCGTCTGCCCCGATCTCCACTCCCAGGGGTTCATTGGGTGGGCCGGTGCCTGTGATGAGACCCCTTTCATCTCCTGAGGCTGGATGACTAGGGAGGCGTTTGGGGTGGGTGGGGGAGTCACCTTCCAGTCTGGTTTTAGCGCCTGTTCCGGGTTGGGCCCTCTTCAAAAGGAGGCTCCCCAATGAGACTGGTAGAGTTGGGAGGGCTGGCACCTTGGCATCTGATCTTCCTGGGGAGGCACCGAGGGCCCTCCCCGACACGCCCCAGCTCACATTCTCTTTCCTGTTTGTCTTCTCGCCAGCTGAAAGCCTGGTGCAGAGGCATGGTGACCGGCGGCTGCAGGCTGGGTAAGTGGGGCCCTAGGACAAGCTCCTCCAGGCTGCTCAGCCTCCCGCCAAGCCCAGCATCAGGCCAGGTGTCTGAGAGCTGCTCCCCGCCTCCTTCTGTCCCCACCTGTCCCCCTCCCTTCCCTTCCCTCACTCCCGTCCCCCCCTTCTCTCTTCCCGCTTTCCATCACCACCCCCACGGTCCCGGTCCCACGTCCCACCCTCTCTCCTCCCCCCACTGCCTTCTTCCTTTCCAACACTTTCTACCCAGCTTGTCTCTCCTGGCGGCTCCTCCCTCTTCTATTTCTGCTGGTCTCTGCCTCGTCTTCTCTTCCGTGCTCCCTTTGCCCCATGACTGCCCATCCAGCCAGGGTCAAGATTGACCAGTAGGCCTCTCCCTCTCCCTCACAGTCTGATCCACAAGGCTAGCCAGGAGCAAGGTGAGCGGCAGCTACCTGTGGTGCAAAACCAGCCTGTTGGAAGTCGCAGGACTCAGATGCTCCCCACCCTAAAGGGCCAACTGTCATGCTCCCCTCCTGCCCTCCTCTCCTCAGCTACAGACACCGCTGCCACCAGCTCCTCCACCACCTCCACCGTCACTACCACCTCCAACACCACCACCACTACCACCACCACCATTACCTCCTCCCCAGCACCACCTCCACTGTCACTACCACCCCCTCCAGCCCCACCCCCTCCAACACCACCACCACTACCACCATTACCCACTCACTATTACCACTACCACCATTACCCCCAACCATTACCACTACTACCACCACTACCACTACCACCATTACCTCCTCCCCCACCACCTCCACCATCACTACCACCTCTAACACCACCACCACCACCACCATTACCCCCACCATTACCACTCCCACCACCGTCACCACCACCAGCCGCACCACTCCCACCCACAGCAGTACCACGCGCACTCCCACTCCCACCGCAGCACAATCACCACCAGCACTAGCACCACCACCACCCGGCTGCTACGAGAGCATCTCTCCATCTCACAGCAGTCTCTTCGCCACTGAACAGTTAAATAGCTGAGTGCTCAGCTTCGTCCAGGACAGGAGCTCTGGTGGCGGGGTGGTTCCATGTCGTGCTGCTCACTGCCAGGTCAGCCGTTTGAAACCACCCGCCGCTCCCCAGAGAAACAGGGGGCTCTGTTCTCCAGTAAGAGTGACCGCCTCGGAAACTCCCAGGGGCAGCTCCCCCCTGCCCACTCGAGTCGCTCTGAGTTGGAATCGCAGTGGGTGTGGTTTGTTGCTGGTTTTGTTTGGACAGTTAGGACGGCAGTGCTATCGGTACAATCCCAGGGATGTGGTCTCCGGGGCCCAGCTCCTCATGTGCCTTGGAAGCTTTGGGAACCATCTCCAAATTGCTCCTAACCTCTCGTTCTCCCTGCCATTGAGCCGACTCCCATGCCCAGCCAGCCTGTGGGACAGGGCAGAGCTGCCCCCGTGGGTTTCTGAGCCTGTCACTCTTTACAGCCGTGGTTCTCAGCCTGTGGGTCGCGACCCCTTTGGGGGTCACCCGATTCATCACAGTCGCAAAACGACAGTGATGGAATTGCCATGAAACCATGTGATGGTTGGGGGTCCCCACCACATGAGGAACTGTCTGAAAGGGGCACGGCGTGAGGAAGGTGGAGAGCCACTGCTTTACAGAAAGAGAAAGCCCCATGGTTCTTCCTCCCTTGGAGCGGCTGGTGCTTTTGAACTGCCGACCTGGTGGTTCGCAGCCCCAACACGTAACCACAACCCCAGCAGGGGCCCCTGGATCCCAGTGAGAACCAATGTCAATGTAAGCGCATTTCTCCTGCCTCCCTGGGCATTGCCCCTCTCAGCTGCCCTCTCAATGCCCGTTCCTCCCCTTTCCCAGCTGCTGTTGGCATCCTCCTCATCCTCCTGTGGTTGTGTACAGGTGTGCTCACAGGTGAGGAAGGGGGGCCGTGAGGGCAAGAAGGGATCTCTCCGGAAGAGGGAACGGCGGGGATACACAGGGGACTGCAAGGCAGGTACACACTGCCTTGGTTTTCTGGGACAAATGCAAACTCTCTGTCTCCCAGCTGACATCCCCAACTCGGGGCTGTGGCTGTGTAACCTGGCACCCAAGTGTGAAGATCAGATTTACAACCCCCTGGCACAGTGCTGTAACTACGGGAAGATCGAGCCCCTGAACCTGACCCACCACTGTGGCCCCCGGTGCACGTACTGGCCCTGCTTTGAGCTCTGCTGCTCGGAAACATACGAGTCCCACAAGACATACACTGTGAGGCTGAAGGTGCAGGGTTCAAAGTCCCAGTGCCAGTCCTCACCCGTCTCCCGGTTCTGTGAAAAATAAAGATCCCATCGCACGGATGGCGAGACTCAAAAGAGGTGAGTCATCGGGGAAGTGGGGGGGGTGTGCTGAGAGCCACCCCCCACCCCTGCCAGCGGAGGCCCAGGCTCCTCCCTCCCCCTGTCTGCCTCTCTCCCAGTCTCTTTCTTCTTTTGCAGCTTAGAGAGCAACAGCCAGACCACCTGCTGATGTCGCCCCGCCCCCTGCATCCCCAGCACACCCGGATTCTAGACTAGAAGGAGCCCCGGGTGTCCTGGTTCTGTAACGAAGCGATAATAAACCGCAGTCCTGCAGGATGGGGAGGTTCCATGCATTCTCTGAGACCTTGTAGTTCATCTCCCTGCCTTTCCTTCCCCTTCATCGTTCTAGCGGCACTTCATCCACATCTCGTTCGATTCGATAGTGCAGGCCTGTGGAGAGGGGTGTGTGCCATCGGTACCGCAGTCCATTTGAGAACATGTTCTTCCTTGCCCTCCTGGCTGGGTTCATGCTCCAAGAGGACACTGTCTGCTTTTATGTGATAGGTAAGCAGTTAGTCTATGAATAGGAGGGGGTGGAGGTAGGGGCACGGAGTGCAGACTCTCATTCACGCCCTGCAGCTCACTCAGGGTCTCTGCGGTTCTTGTTTCCTGGATTAGGACGATAGCCCTCTATGGCAAACGAGCTACCTCCCCCGGGCCTCAACACAATGCTTCCCCATTCGCTTGTTTCCTCCAGTTGTCTCATAGACCCTGGAGAGGCAGGGGCATAGGACTTTGCTAGATTAAAGAGTTTGGACAGCTGGGGGACCTGTGCATGGGCGATGACCACGCCACTTGTACAATCAAGGATTTGGCTGGCCTTCGTCCTAGGTTCTTGGGAGGTGATATCTAAATCTTGGATTTTCTTGGGAGATGAGAGTCTCTTTATTATTCAAGCTGGGTTCTCCAGACGCCATCGGGTAGTTTGCACGACCCAGGTGATTCGTGGCCGGATCCTGACCAGTGTGTGAGAACTCAGGATGGAGACGTGTTATACCAGAAAGATCCATCCTCTTAGAAGGCTGGAGCGTTTGCTCACGTGTTAGCCGAATCTCTGCGACTCTGCGACAGTGGGGGGAGTGGAGGCTGGAGACTGGGTGTTGGGGAGGGGGTGGTGGAGGCTGGAGACTGGGTGTTGGGGAGGGGGGGGTGGAGGCTGGAGACTAGGTGTTCCACCACCTCGCCCTGGATTCAATCAATCAAGCCTAAGTAATGAAGCCTTCATAAAGACTCAGACAACAGAAATGGGCACCATCCTGTACACGGTCACATATTAATGTGCCAAAGAGTGGTTGATGGTGATGTCTCTTGGCTCTTTGGATGAGAGCAATCGATTTTTTGTGTTTGTGTGATGCTCCTCAAACTTGTTCTTTTTGTATCTCGTTGGCTATTTCTTATTGGTATTATTTTGCTATAATAAACAAACAAACAAAAAAAACCCCACACTGTCATCAAATCGATTCTGTCCCTTGGTGATCCTATTCCATGCGGTAGAAGTGCCCCTGTGAGATTCCAAGGAGTTTCTATTCCTTATGGGAGTAGAAAGTCCTGTCTTTCTCTCAAAGAGCAGCTGGTGGTTTCAAACTGTCACCCTTGCAGTTAGCAGCCCAAGACGAAACCACTGTGCCACCTGGGCGCTTGATGCTAGACTCAAAACTCAAAACTCACTGCCGTGAGTCAGTGCTAACCTACCGTGACCTACCATGACCTACCATGACCTACCATGACCTACCAGTGGGTTCCCAAGACTGGAACTGTTGGTGGGAGTAGAAACACGAATCTTTCCCCTGCAAAGCTGCTGGTGGTTTTGAACTGCTGACCGTGCTGATCATAGCCCAGGGTTTAACCACGACACCACCAGGGCTCCATGTTGCTGTGATAGACCTATAATAGCTTAGTGCTCCCCCACCCGGGTGTTCTCTGCCTCATTCTGGACAATGACTAAACTCAGGGAGTTTTGGGAACCCTGAAGGCTGCTGGTGGAGCGAACGCCTTGAACTGTGGTCGGCGTCTGAAGCGAGGGCAGGCTTGTGGAGGACTGTGGCCTTCGCCTGGACATTTGACCTACTTCCAGGCGGCCGGTGTCAGAAGCGATTGTAGTTGGTGACAGGGCGAGATTTGCAACAACCGCCCTGACCCGCTGACACGGGAGGTTTGGGAAGAGGAAGAACGGAAGAGGTAGGGGGCGGGGAGCCTTTGATTCCTGAGTGGCCACGGAGGTCCCCCGTGGTATGGACACGCAGGTGTGCTGCGATCAACCCCTGGAGGTCAATTGCGTAACAGGCTAGGTGACTGAACCCGGTCTCCAGCCCCCACGCCCCCGTTACAAAGATTGGGTTAACACGCAAACGAAGCTCCAGGCTTCTACGCGGATGGATCGTTCTGGCATAACAGTTTCCCATCCTGAGTTATCTCCTTAGCAAAAACTAGCCGGGTGCAATCATGCATCACCTGGGCTGTGTCCACCATCAACTGGCGTCTGGAGAACCCAGCTTAAATAATGAAGAGACTCTAATCTCCCAAGAAAACCCAGGATTTAGATATCACCTCCCAAGAACCTATTTGATTTAACTAAAGATTAACTCCAAAAGGAGCTAGCTGGCTTCCTGGATGTATAAGGAACGTCCAAGACCCAAAAGGGCTCGGGGCTCGGGGGAAGGGTGGAAGGAAGCAAAAGCGATGATCCCTTGGGGGTTCGCTAGACAGGCTAAAGTGAGAGAGGCGATCGAGTTTCTCTCTGAACTGCAGCAGAACCCCGGACCTCCACCTTAACCCATTCTAGAAGGAGCATCGAGATGTGATGCATTCCGGAAGCAATGTTTTAACTGCAAATGGATTAATGTGTTCTCGACCACCAAGTTTGTACCCTCACCTTGCCTTTTTATACAAAACATTACACAGAAATGTCAAAGTAAATAAATTCAGAGGTAAATAATATAATTCAAATAAGAAACACAACATTTAAAAAGTTTTTAGCAACTACTGTGTGGCCCCTACCTGGAGACGGATGAGGCTCTGGATCTGTGGACACGGATGTGGAGAGGAGGGATGGAGAGAGAGTCATTGTGTCGAAGGGGAATCCCCTTCCATCAAATCACCCGGTAGCCGCTTTTCAGGAGTTTTTTCCCTTTGCCTTTTTTCACCAGGACCTGGCTGCCTTTCTCTAAAATGAAATAAAAAAATCTGTCTAATGTGGTCTGCTGTTGGCGTTTACTTCACTGTTCTCTAAAAAGTTTGATTAAATTCTCAACAATATTGATAACACCGTTA